TTGCAGCAATAACTTTTTTAGTTTTGTTATATAACATGCATTTTGCTACAGAAATTGTTGACTCTTAATTTCTAAATTTAATGGTTTGAAATATGTTATTGAATATAACATCATAATTTTATCAATTAGACTTGAAAATTAACTGCAAATAACTTAAATAAATAAGTAGATTCTAAGTCTTTAAACAATAGTAATTCTTAACTTCATAAAAATTTCAAAAAAAAAAAAAGGTTTTGAATCTTTAAATAATAGGTAGTGTTACTCTTGTATTGTTGTACGAATCCTTGCTAATGTATTGCCTCTAAAACATTACATTCTGTTATGGCTAGAGGACACTTTGTACTCCCTTTTAATAATAATGTTTTATTTTGTTGATATAAAAAGGAGGAAAAAAAAAAAAAAACTGATTCTCAACTAACCAGATTATTCATAAATTTTGAAATTTATGCAAACCAAATGCATGTATAATGAGTTCTGTATATATGGCATGGAAAGGAATTCCAAAGAAAAAAAAAAAAACAAATATAGAAGTCGTATACAACACAAAACGAAAACAGATACAAAAGACGAGATACCATGAGGTCCACGACCCACCAGCCCACGACCACCAAATGCATCCAACAAAGTTAAGGCTAAAGAACAATAAATTGACATGAATAGTTGCAAAAGGTAGACACGATTTTTACTAAAAGATGAAACAAGCGCGACCACCACAAAAATGCGCCCACAGAAAGTTTATGTTAAATTTAAAAAACAATAAATTGACATAGATTATGTTAATAATATACTCATGTAAATTGTAATTTTAAAAATATTAAAATTATAATATTATATAATATTATAAATTTATAATATAATTATCATTATATAATTAATTTTTTTATTTAAAAATTTATACATAATAATATTATATATATTTATTTTTTTAATGTCACACATATTATTTAATGTCATTTATAATTATAAATTAATTTTAAATTTTACGTAACTGTAATATTTTGGGATGAGCATCAAGTGGTTTCAGTTGCAACCAAAATTGAGATTTTGGTTAATCGAGTTTTTGGTTTTTCATTTTTAACAATCAAGTATCGAACCATAATGTTTTAGGTTTTGTCGGTTTCAGGCATGTTGGTTTCGGTTGGCGGCAAAGCATTGATTTCACCTTTTAACCGAATTTCCAATCAAGTAGCAGCAATTTTTTGACAGTAGATCACAGAAGGTGCAAGAAAGAAAAGAAACAACACGGTGCACCAATAGCTATGGCAGTGGAACAAGAGGGTAAATGAAGCACTACTATGGAATTTTATTTTTAGATCTAGACTCTAAGGAAAGATTAATTAAAAAAAGAAAGTAAAGAAGAGAGTGGATTAAAGAAAGAGAATGGATTTTTGGTGTAGATTTGGGATTTGAGAGAACTAAGGAGTGAAAGGGAGAGTTGGACAAAAAGGGTTTCGAAATGGAAGGTAGGAGAAGATGAGTACGGCAAACAAGAAAATTGAGAAGTAAAAAAAAAATATCTAATGAGATTTAAATCGAATGGTCCAAAATAAATTGATTATTATAATCAAGGGATGAAATAAAATCTTCAACTTATTAAAAAAATTAAATAAGTTTAATTAAAGTAAGATGATGTCATATGAAATTTCAAAATTCACAAAAGTAACAAGGTCAAAGATTGCCTAGAAAAGAGTAAAAAGCAAAAGAGTAGAAAGTAATAAAAATTCAGAAGAAAATAAAAAAAGACTGGGCTTGCCGGTTGTCTGGGCCTAGTCCAGCGGTTCACGGTTTCTGGGCCAAGCAACCGTAAACGTCCTTACTGGGCCTCGGTTACAACGGAAACCGGGCCCCCAGCCCAACCGAATATAAAAAGGCCGACCCTCAAGCTGCAGTTTCGGGCCGTTTTGGGTGGTTTTATGGTTTCGGATAAAAATGCCGGCAAAAGCCTATTTGAGCCCCTCATTTTATCAAATTTGAAGATTTTAACCCCTCGCCTTATATTATGACATTTTAGTCCCTCACTTTACTAGATTTGTAGGTTTTAACTCCTTATCTTATACTATGACACTTTTAGCCCCTTACCTATTAAAATTGAAGAAAATAGCCCTTGCTTTATAATATTTTATTAATTCTATTAGTTGACTGTTAACTTACAAAAATTTTCTTTCAACTAACAGAATTAACAAAATTAAGTTTATAATATTTCGTTAATTCTGTTAACTGACTATTAATTAACTGTTAGTTGACAAAAATCTATTTTCAACTAACAGAATTAACAGTCAATATAAAATGAGGGTTATTTTCTTCGATTTTAATAGGTGAGGGGTTAAAATCTACAAATCTAGTAAAATAAGGGGTTAAAAGTGTTATAATATAAAATATGGGGCTAAAACCTTTAAATTTGATAAGATGAGAGGTTAAAAGTCAATTTTTACCAAAAAATACCCACCCTAATACCATTGCCTTTGTAACTTTATAATATTATAATATGTTATTAAATAAATATATATAATATATTAAAT